TTGAAAATCAATATTTGAATTTGATTTGAAATCAAATATTTGAATCAAATCAAATCAAATCAAATTAAATGTGGAACCCTAGGTTTTACCATGCACTTCTTCAAGAAATCTAGTAGAAAAATTAGTTTTTTTTAAATCATCTAAATACAATAATATCTGGGCTTGTTCTAATAGAATAATAGTAATATCTTTAGAGAATATGAAAGAAACAGATTCGCTTTTATTATTATAATACATAATTGTATTATTTGTGATTCAGATTTTAGTTATTAAGATATTTTTTATTTGCTTACAAAGTTGAAAAATATTTTTAATAAATTTTGATATAACTAAAAATAATATCATTGAAATCTGCTTTTTGCAAAGGACAAAGTTGATGTTTTTTATAATTTGCATTAATATGAGACTTTAGTTAATAATATTATTCCTTTTATAGCTAAAACTTCAAATTTTCTATCTTCTAATCAGAACTTTAACAAGAATAAGGCTGTTTTTATCTTATTTTTATACTTTATTTTAGAATTTTAAAATATATATTTTTTTTAATAGTTAGCATCTTTTATATACTGCTATACACAATTTTCATTACAGATATTTTTTGCTTTGTGTTTGTTTACTTCAGCCTTTATTAGAGCAATAATACTTATTATTTAATATCTATTTACTATAAAGACTTATTTATCTTCTAGATAAGATATTTTTTAACTAGTTAAGCAATTAATAAAATTTTATATAAGATTTTTTTAATCTCTATTTCAAAAATATTAGTTAATATTTGCTATAGCTCTTGTTGTTTTTGTTCAGAGTTTAAAATTGATTTTAATTTTAGATAATTTTAACACTTACAAGAGATAAAATTTACTAGATATATTGTTTCTCAAAATAGCTTTAATAATTAGTATTTGGTATATTAAGTAAAAATATTTAATATTCTAAAAACTCTAATCTTTAATTTAAGCCTTAAACCCAAACTCTAAAGTTTAAATTTAATATTAAAATTTGCAAAAATTTTTAATTAATTATATAATAATAAAAATATATTATAATTATTTTCTGCAAATACTAAATAAACTCTTTATTAAAACTAGTTTTAGTTAGTTTTAATATATAAAAAATAAATCTGATTTTAAATCCTTTAAGTCTTAACCAACAAGCCTTCTATATATATACAGTATATGTATATATATATTTAAATATTATAGCTACAAATTTTATAGCTTTGGTTATTGTGGTATCTTAATTCAATAATAGGATTTACTATACAATTACATTTATTTTCAAAATATTATTTACATATATTACCATATACTTTTGAAATTAAGCACCCCAAAATTAAGCACTCCCGCATTCTATATTCACCTGAAATTAAGCACCCCCGAAATTAAGCATCCAAACGCCCGTAATTAAGCATCATGCATTTACATTCGTACCCAAAATA